CGGTGCTTTTAACAACGAAATCCACCGAATTTTTTTATATCAAAAAATTTTTCAAAAGAAAAAATGTCTTTAATTACGAAATTACTAAATAGCAAGAAATAATTAATTTTAACCGTATTTTTAAAATCTGTAATTCAACTGCCGATTAAAATAAAACGGATTGACATAACGGATTAAAATTTACTTCTCCGTAAGGGTACGATTTTTGTCTAAAGATCGTGCCTTGTGAATATAGAAAAAAATTATTATAGGTGCACTAAAAAGGTGTTTAGTTAACGACCGTCTGGAGGCGGTTCTGCCTACTAGAGGGTTAACCTAGCTTTCGGCAATTTTGTCTTTCTTATTTGGCACTACAACCGTTTGTCGATTTTGGCCGAAACCAAAAAGCTTCGCCAACTGCCTCTCTCTCCTTCGCGGTTTTGCGCCAGTTGTTCATTCCAGGTGTGGACAGGTCCTTCTGCACTTAATCCTTCTATTTTGTTCGTGAGGGCCCTATCTTTCGTTGCCCACCTATGGGTGCGGAGTCCAAGGATCTTTTCATCGGAGCGTCCTTATCCATGAATAGTTCTCTCGAAAGCCCTCAAAGCATTATCATCTTTGTTAAACATCGTCCAAGTTTCTGCACCATATAAAAGAACTGGCATGATGCTATTTCGATCCTTTCATTGGAGGGCGTTTTTACGTGGCGGGTTCCAAGCCCAGCACCCGACCATTACTGGGATGAGTGGCTTTTCAACAGGATACACGTTTATCTAGGGAGCCACTTGTTGCAAGACAGGCCCCTGCTTGCAGCCGTACCTACTGGTGAATAGATGCTGCAAACTTCAGTGAGCCTTTAAGCCGACTAAGTCGGGGTGGCCCTCTGAAGCTCCCTCTCTTTCTGCCGTGCCCCAAGACTCCACTTGAATTGCTTACCGCTTCTCACACATGGGTGAGGACACAAGACTCGGGATTGAGTATAGCTGTGCAACTATAACTGCGTATCCAGAAGAAGGGCTATAACCCATTGCTCCCCTTTTAAGAAAACTATGTAATTTAATTTTCAGTCTTTTTTGATTGAAAGTTTTGTAGTTTTTCGCGATATTTTTCTTTCACACCAAATTGTAGTTTCAAAAATTTCTTTTGTTTTTTCTTGCCATTGACCACGGCCACATAATTCACTTTATAAAGTACATACGCACAATGAGACGAATATGTAAACACCCCGCGGCAAAGATTTCGCACGTAGCGCTGTAGAGCAACTTGGTGCTGGTAAATATGTACTCTTATAGCGAAAGAGGGAGGTGAAGGAGTTGGAATAGAATTGCGGCGATGTGTCAGTTTTGCGCTGCAAATTTGCATATGAGTAGTTGAGCTGCAAAGTAAGAAAATATGTGGCAAGAATGGCAGAAAAATGAGATTTTCAAAATTATAAATGGAATTTCAAGTGAGCGCACCAGTGAAGAGCGTTGATGTCAGAGTTGATGAAAGCAAAACTGAAGTATTTATTGTGGAATGAGATTGTGCGGATGCGGAATGTGTGGTTAGAAAGCAATTTATTACTGTTATGCAAAAAAAAAAATAAAAATATTAAAGCGTTGAGCGGATACTTCTATAAATTTTCTATTTTAAGCAATTTCCTATTTCTCGCGCTTTCCCTCTGGCAAGCAATGCAAGTGGTTGTTGACGATGTTTAAGTAGTTTTGCAGTCACTGCGAGTAGTTCACGTACATACATACATACATGCTTACGCTGAAGACGCCAATACTGACGACGACCGCAACTCTAATCAGCGCGTTGTTAGTGAACGATGCACAAAATTTTTGTGGCCAACATTAGCAGCAAAGTGCCGCCGCCACCAACGCCACCATCACCACGCTACTCCTGATGTTGCAGTTGTTGACTTCCGTAAGGTAGCTGTCGACGTTATAGAAAAGTAAGCCAGCAGCATAGTTGTGCGTTGTACAAATGGAATGATGTGTGCGCAAACAAATGCCGCGCGTGGCCGTTAGTGGCGTCAAAAAAAAAAAAAATGTTAGACATTGGCGGCTAAAGAACAAAAATGTGCAGAAAAATAACGACCGAGAAGTGGAAATTTTCGCAATGAGTTATGCCTTGACTCAAGTAGTGGAGGGGTTATGGAGTCGAGGCATGGAGCATGAAGTGCAATTAGTTGAATTCCACTTAGTACGTGCGGGATTTTCAAACACTTTAGTGGCTTTCGCAGAAGAATGTTTGGTTTAGAGGGCAGAAGAGTAGGCAGGGTAGGTTATAAAGCGGTCAAATGGGCAAATGCACAGAAGACCCATGCAAAGAAAATAGAAAATGGTTGAAATAGTTTTTGAAGTAGAGCATTTGATTGAAGTAATCATAAAATGTCAATGTTTGGCATAAATATGCAGAAAAAATTTAATAGCATCTGGTTATCGTCAGCAGATATTCAAGCGAAGGCCATTGCAAATTTTGAGTTTTTTTTTGTCCATTAAAGAATGGCAAACCATCGCTACCATTTGCACGGAATATATATTTATGAAGGCTTCACAAAAGTGAAAGTCTCTCGCAGTTTGAAAAATTTCGCATTCTCATTTGGTTTGACTCGGCGCCCACACGGATGGACAACGAATGCAAGGGCGGCCATGAACAGACTGCAAGGGCCAAGTGCAGATGGACCTGTCTGTACTCGGGATGAACGACTGACTGGCGCAAATTTCCAAAGGAGAAAGGCAATTGGCCAAGCTTTTTAGTCTCACTCCAAACAGGTTGTAGTGCTAAATAAGAAGACAAAATGCCATAAAATAGTGATCTGAATCGATGTGTAGTCGTCGCATCGTACGTAGGCCTCTCAGAGTATCCTCACCAAAGCTGGTAGACCAAAGCCAAACAGGCAGAGTTTGGCGTAACTCTGGGCGTGAAATAAATTATAACAACGAAGACAAAAAAGAGAAGGCAAAATTGAAGATAAAGTCGAAAATGGGGAGAATACATATGAGAAATACATATGAATTAGGGTAACTGAAAGAGTAAGAAAATCAATTGACTTTTTCGATAGGAATCGAAATAAATTCAATCATAAAAGTTAACGAAAATTATTGAATCATCTAAGTTTAAAGTTATCGAAATTTATCGAGTTTTCCATGGTTATTGAGTTACTGCAACGTATCGAATTATTCAAATTGCTCAATGTTTATTGCGTTGCCGAAATTTATAGACACAGAAACTTAGTTGGCGAAATTTACGGATAGTTATCGAGCTGTAAAAATTTATGGGATTATAGAAATTTGTCAAGTTAAAGAAATTTATCAAGTTATCAATGTTTATTGATTTATCATTATTTTTAGACTTAACGAAATTTATCGAGTTATCGTAATGCATCGAGTGCTTTAAACTTACAGAGTTATCGATAATTATTAATCTACTGAAATCGGTCGAATTATCGAATCGAAAATATATCGATCTATCGATATTTCTAGGTTATATAAGTGTATCACTGCTTATCGAATTTTATCGTGTGAACAGAATGTAACGAGTTATCGAAATTTTTTGATAGCTTTCGGAAAATATGGAGCTGTCAAAATTAACAATTTATAAAGGTATTCAAAGTTTATCGAGTTATCGATTTATATTGCGATATATAAACTTTTGTGTTATCGAAATTTATCGAGCCCTCGAATTTCATGGTATTTGAAATTAGTCGCGTTATCGATTTTCGTTGAGTTATCGTTGAGTTATCGGATTTTAGTGTTTTTAAATACATCGAATAATCGATATGTATCAAATCATTGAAATTTATCGATAAACTGGAATGTATCGGGTCAATTACAAGTCCTGCCCAAGTCTATTAAATTTAACGCGCTGTTCGAATGAAGTGACAGGGGGCTAGAGCGCTCTTGAAATTTGGAAGATCTTCCAGCAGACTTCAGGCGCCAGGACTACACAGTCAAGCCTCCTAGTCTAAAGAATCATTTCCAGACAAGGATCAAGTAAGCGAATTTCTTTATTTGTGCGCTACTTTTTGCCAAAATTTTGTCATTGTGAAATTAAGATAGACAAATAAAAAAAATATTGATTTACTTCAGCATTGTAATTCTGTCGTAAATACTTTGCCATTTAATCGGTCGCCTCGCTTCCGATGCTCCTACGTGATTAATTATAATTTTCTTGCAGTAGAAATTAATCAGCGCCATAAAAGCTTCATCCCCTTACATAAACACAGCATTAATTAATCAACCACAAGTTGATGTTGAAATAATTACTCGCTACCAAAAAAAACCAAGCCAAAACACAGAACCACGTAGACAGCTTACGGTCACAGCAATTTAAGTACATTTTCCTTGCATTGCTACCCAAACGTTTCCCTGCTTTACCATCATTACTGACCCGCAGCAGAAAGAAGCATACATCCGTGTCTGTATAGGAATAAAGTTAGAAAGACACACCTACATACAAAACACATCTACCATTTGCGGTTGCTTTGCTCGAATGCACTTCATTCACTACTTGGCCTGTTGCTTCTCTTTCGATGTGCTTCGGGTTTTACAGAAATTATGATTCCCTTGGTAGCAATTCAATCCTCTAATGTGTATGAAGGGCATGCAATTCCTTGTACAAAAGTACAAACAACAACATTTTCATACATACATACATGTGTACTTGTGTACGTAAGTATGTTTATACTTAGATGAACTTAACTTAGAAAATGTAGCGCCAACCCTTCTTGAAGTGTTCACCCTTGCCAGTACTTAGTTTAGTGTTTCATTTCTTTCTTTTGGCTAATTACAACCCTGCAGTAAGCCCGGGGCCAGCCAACGCTAAGCCACCATGTACGTCTACAGCGACAATTGCACTAGTGCAAATATCGACAACGGTTTCTTTTTGCAGGAGTACGAACTCGCCATAGACAATGACTGTAGCGTTTTTGTGTGTATATTGTCTACACTTTGTCAACAAGCACAACAGCTGTGCTTCGTCTTGCATTTTCTATTCCATCAGATATTTATTTAAGCGTGCACGTGCGGGGGAACAAAATTTTTACAAATTTTTTTCAGAAATTAAAAGGTGAACGTAAATAATTAATAAATTTTCTCGTATTTTCTCCTTATAACCAGATGTCATATCGACCTTCAGCAAATCATCAGACACAACTTTGAGAGCAGCTTTCCAACGCCAAAAGAAAAAATTCTTCAAGCAAACAACCCGCATTAAAACCCCAAAAAATACTATTTATTAGATTGTAAGAAATGTTTAGCTAGCCTTGAAGAAATATGCCAAAAACCAAGTACCTTTTTTATTAAAAATAACTATCTACAAGACATTTTTATCAACAATATAAATATCTGTGTTTCAATTAATTGTATTACCCAAAGGTATAAAAAAGTGTAGACAATAAACATTAAAAGGTAGTAGAGAATCTCTGGTGCCAATGTCTCCATATGGTCCCAAAGGGAGTACTTAGTCAATACCTCTGGAGAATTGCAATGACAAGCACATGTGAGATGTCTATAGCAAATAACATTGTGTGTCGCATATCTTGGAACTAGTACTGGTGACAAAGTCAATAGCGAATCGATAAAGTTTCACTGTCGACATTTACTGCAGGGAAGCAACTTAACAAGAATATTGGCATGTCTGCTTGGTGTTACTGCTGCTACAGCAGCCTTGTCGTTTTCGCAGCACTCGTGCATAAATTTTCTTAAGTGTACTTTTGCTGCAATTTTGAATTCAATGTTTGGTGAAATGTATGTTGCTCGGGAAGGTACATCGATTTGATGAATGTACATGCAATGGGTACGTGTTTAGAAGAAATGCATCTACAAACTTGTATGTAGATGTGCGTTCTTCATGAGTATTCAGTGCTCGCTATTGGCAGCTAGGGAGTACTTTTGGGCATTCTTGTGGCAAATTGATTTTTAGCAATCCAAGGGAAAATTTAATTATGTTTATTTACGATATATGCTTGCAACATTTGGATTTCCCTTCTGCTACTGTGTTAGTATTACGGAAAGATTACAATAAATAGGAAGGCAATTATCTTCGAACATTCATAAACTTTTTGGAAAAAAACTGCAATCAGGTAATTAATAAATTATGAAGTCTATCAATTATTCTCGTTAAGGTTAACTAACACTAAGCCCAAGAACCTGCTCTTTCGACGTGTTTGGCTCAAAGGGAGTGCGTTTTAAGAGGCCATTGGCAAAAGTACTTGCGAGTAAAAAATGGTTTAATTTTTTTATTGAGTGTACAATAGGGTGGTCCATAAATACATGCGGAGAAAACAGTTTAAAAGGTTAAGCTCTCACCTCTAGCATTTTATAAATTGTAAAATAAGATTAAGCGTATTTTTTTTGGTTAAAATAATGATATTTAGAAAACACTTTTTCATAGAAATGGTATAGAATTCTTTAAAATCCGTATTTTTAGATCGAAAGATTTTATTTATCTTCAGGAGACTTTCAATAATAATAACCAATGGTTTACTTAACCATTTTTTAATATTAACTAATTTTTATATCTCCCACTAAAAAACAAAAAAAATCAAAGGGGGGACCAATAAAAATTCTTTAGTATTAAAAAATGGTAAAAAGAACGTATTATTGGAAATCTCTTGAAGAGAAAGAGAGTTTTCCGATCGAAAAATATTGATTTTCAAGACTGCTATACCATTTCTACGAAAGCATTTTTTTTTCGCTGTAAAAGTACAAGGAAAACTTCATGGGCTTTGAGGCAGTTCTAAATATATATATATTTTTTGTGTACAAAAAACGGGTCACCTTTTTCCAGTAAGAAAAATCCTAGGACAACCCTAGTGTACAAGTAAATTTCAAAGGGTTTTTTTCTCGATTTTGAAACTTTATAATGCAAAATCGGTACAATGTAATTTATTTAAAGTATTTCCCATCGCTTTCTATGACCCGTTCCTTCATTGCTACCGTGATATAAAGCCAATTTTTGATCCCGTAAGGGCGCTCCGCATCGACCGTAACAAATGGTAGTGTATAGTGCATGGTCCGAACCACCTGTGACCCGTCTACTTAAATCGGGAAGCGAGAGTAGAATCCTGCCATCCCTGCACTGCACGAATGCCATAGCCCATAGCCGTAATGGGTCAAATTTGTAGAAATGAGCTGATGATGAAAGTCCCAGAAGAACTTACGTCATTTTTAGCCGTGACTCAACAGGACATTTGATTGCATTGAAACGCCATTGGTATTTATGATCCAGAAACTTGGGTGCCTCACGAACTCAAACCAAAAGGTATCGAAAGGCATGTCTCTGAAATGCTCCTTCACCAGAGATGGAAAATGGATTCATTACGACAATCCAAGGCGCCAGAAGGGTGACAGGTAATAAGGTCAATGGAAATAAGGTCAATTGACTTTATTTCCCACCCTGGTGCGAAATAAAGTCAATTGACATTATTACCTTTTCAAAAGCGAAATAAAGTAAACAAAAATTTGGAAATAACGCCATTGATGCTATTTCCTCATTCAAGTGGAAATAGCGTCAACAATGCTTAAAGTATGTCGATTCATAGAAAAAAATTTTGTTCTTACAATAAACATTGCTCCGTAAGTGTTGTTATTTAATAGATGAAAAAGGTTATTGCCAAATACTCAGTGTTGTGATATTAATCCACCCACAATCATGAACTACCACCAACTGATTTTATTAAAAAAATTTAAATTACGAATATGTAAAAACACAATGCGAAAAACTAAATACCTGCGCACAGATGGAAGACGAGAAATATTTGAAGAAAGAGTGTAGAAATTATCCATAACTTGCAAAACATTTTTCGTTTCCACAAAAATAAAGCGAACACTATTAAATTGATGAAACAGTCCATGTCCAAAAACCCCGGAGGAACACTGAAAGAATTCTATGTTTTAAATTAGCATATTTTGAACGAATTCGGAATGTCTAAGGTGGAAAAGAAACCAACCTTTCTATAAGGAAACAATTATAGAAAAAGAAATTTCTTACACTGTATTCATGTCTCCGCCAGCAATTTGTGACGACATCATTTAAAAGCAACTAAGGCGAACGACGACACTATTTATTAGATGGCACATTCAACGAGCCAATGTGCCAAAATGCAGATATAAACAATTATTGATTATTTAATATCGGAACCGAGATCATATAAGTTAATTGATTGGTTTTCACACACTTTTGAAACACAAATTATATGCTTTTTTACTGCAGACAAGTTGTTGCCCCAAAACACAGCAGAAATCTTCCAATCAGGGCTGCCAACTATCCTTAGTTATGATGAGGTGCCATATTGAGGATAAAAAAGTGCCAAAATGTGCCAAAGAGAAAATAATAAATTATGCCAAATTGAAAAATTAAGTGCCATTTGAAGTAAAATAGGGACAAATGGCACGATTTGAGCCAAGTTGGCATCCCTGCTTCCAATAACTTACAAATATAAAAAGGTGATATATCGAGGGCTTGAATTCATTAATACCCTTTATCTGCAATTTGCACAAAAACTAATTTGTGATTTTAGAAACCATGTGGGACTTATTACTTGTCGTTATATAAGGTAACATTAATATCACTGATGAAAGTTAAAGCTTAGGTGGATTTTTATATCAGAATCTCATCTTTGTGAAAAATGTGCAGATAGAGGGTATTATTGAATATAAGCCCTCGATGTTTAAAATATATAAAAATTTTATTTCAACGTATACAAAAAGTAAATCCACCTGCGTTACAGCACGGCGGGAGACGGGGAAGGGGGGGCGAGCGCGGCGCGCGCGGTGTGGCGCGCTAACGCGGGTCGCCGCAGAGCTAAGCAAATTTAATGTTTGAAAGAGAAATAATGTCAATTGATTTTATTTCGTTTTTAAAAAGGTAATAATGTCAATTGACTTTATTTCGCACCAGGGTGGGAAATAAAGTCAATTGACCTTATTTCCGTTGATCTTATTACCTGTCACCGCCAGAAGGCGTATGTTAAGCACGGCGAAGCCGGATCATTAACATCAAAGCCACTGGCCAAATAACCACGTTAGCATGGAAATGCTCTGCATTTGGTGGTCAGTCCATCAACGTGGCTAACTACAGATAACAAATGATGCGAGCGATTGCTGCAAGCCGGCGGGGTAACCAGACAAGAGTCATTATTGATTTTGCACGATGGCAATGCTCGGCCGAATGTCGCAGAAGTGATCAAAACTGGTATGCGAAGTTCAAACGCACCCGCACCCCGTGTTGGCTGGTGGCTAAACTGTACCCGGCTTCGGCAAGCATGCTGCATGTACCTCCCTTATATTTTTGCTATATTTACACGCTGACAGTATTTCTTTTCAAATTACGACCAGTGTTGCCGTTTTAGCCCTTTGGTGGATAGATTTAGCTACCACATACTTTTTTTGGCCACGTAAATTTAAAATTGCCCTTAGCCCTTTTTTTAGCCCTTTGGAGAATGTATTCATACATGGCGTGAAAAAGCTTTATATGCTTAATTTGATCTCTTTTTTTCATTTATGTAAGATATGAATCTTTAAACTAAGAAAGACTGATATACATATATACATATATGTATTGTATGTTCCTTACATTTTTATACATAAATACTGTAAAATAGTTAGGGCTGTTCACTTATCTATTAGCGATTTAACTATAGTTTAATGCTTAGTTAATATGCTTAATTTGTTAAATGGCCCATCATGTCGATTGACCGTGTATGTTCTTGTGGTGTGATTGAACCAGCTGCTGGTGCGATTTCAAAAACTATTTGAAAGTTTTGTGATTGTACCAGCATGCTGGTGTTGTGAGTGGTGAAATTAGCTCAATTTACTAAGTAAAAAGTATTATGGCTGAAATTTCCTGCACTATATGAGTCAAAGCAGTTTTTTTGGAAGATTAAGTTCGCGATATTGCAGTTGTGAATTAAAAAAAAAAAAAACAATGTTTCACAAAATGGTAGGAAAATTGTGAAATTTCGGCTCTAATCATTTTGTTCTTTCCTCGACCTCATTTGTAAAGAAATAGATATTGTACCAGCATGCTGGTAAGTTATATGCTTCAAGCCTGATGGTACAATCACTTGATGGAGCCTGCAAGCTGGTGTCGTATATTTCCCCTTTTATAGAAAAAGGTTTAGCTTTTTACCCAGTGTTCATTGTTTTTCTATACCATTACTTATTCAAAATGTTTGTGTGTATACTTATATATGTATATGTAAGTAAAAAATTTTAGC